TCTCTCTCTCCTCTCTCTCTCTCTCTCTCTCTCTCTCTCTAACAGAAATTGATAAAATAAAATTATATGGGTGTTGTCAATGTTGTCCATAGAACAAATAAAATTACATACGCCACTTTAGTGTATTGTGATAATATCAATGTCAATGTTATCTATTTGGGTGAGCAATATTAGTGTACCAAACATATTGAGATGAACATTCATTTTATTCAAAAAAAATATAGTTCGTGGTTAGACATGTGTCTTTCATATCCCCTCTAGACATCATACCACATATTAGTTTCTTGTAATTATGTTGTATCATAATTAGATAATTGGCGATGTATATATATTTTATTCATATGAATATGAATGAGAAAGACAAACACTCTAATTATCTTACAAGAACAACTTATTAAGTATTAAGTATTGGACAACTATAACAAAAAAGTAATAATTACTTTTCAACATGAAAGACCCTAATTTTTATCATTAGGAAAGGGGCTTTATTATGGAAACAACAATGTCTTCTGCCTGTTTCAAAAAAACTCCCACAAAAATTTCTGAAGATTGTCTTGTGGGAAAGCAACCAAGGGATTTTCCTGAAGTGAGCACTTGAAGCGCATTTAAAATCCTATCTATGGTGAATGTTTAAATATAAGATACTTTAATACTTTTGTTGATGATTATCGTCGTGTTTAATACTTTTGTTTGATGATTATCATCGTGTGTTATATCTTTTAATAGAAAAGTTTGAAGCTTTTTAGTTTTGGAAACTTTAAAATCACGTGGAGAAAAAAATAGGTACATCTATAAAAATTGTGAAATTGCAGAGGATGGAGAATTTACATCACAAGTGATTACCAACTTTTGCTAAAGTCGTGATAAATTGGTGACCCACAATTGTTGAGGGTTAGATAGTTCACAAAATGAGTAACTTCATAGGTAACGAATATTGATCTACTACACGCTGGATCCACAAAAGCACGATATGGACGAAATAAATGGAAAGTAGGGAAACCGATCTAACAAAAGGATGTCCTATCAGATGAAGAGTGCTTGAATTACTCCACTACATTTGGAGTAAGGGAATCAAAGGTTATAGGTTGTATGAATTTGTTTTTCGTAAGAGCTTGTTTTTCATAGAAGCAATGAGAAAACCGTTAAATTCAATTTAGAGAATTTAGAGTGCGAAGATGAAAAAGGTGAAGTTTCCATTTTGTAAACAATGAAACAAATATTATTGGTGAAGAGAAAATTGGACTGAAATGGGTATTCAACAAATCTCAATGAGAATGGATAAATAAACAAATTCAAAGGAAGGCTTGTAACAAAAGAATATGCTTAAAAACTCAAAATCTATGTAAAATCAGCATCTTTACACGGTGTGCTCAATTAAGATATGTTTGCGAAACAGCCTTATAGGTACAAAATCAAGGGCATTGACCATAAGGTGTACAAGTTGAAGAGACACTGAATTTAAACAAGCTACACAAGCATGATACAGTTGCATTGAATATTATTTTCAAAAAGATGACTTTGAAAGACGCTCTCATGAATATGATTTGTTTGTCAATACAAGTGTTGGAAGGTAAAATTCTAATCATAAGCTTGTATGATGATGGCCTAACAATGATGAGTCAATGTTTGGTTCATTCAAAAAATTCATGATGCATGATGATGGCCTAACAATGATGAGTCAATGTTTGGTTCATTCAAAAAATTCATGATGCATGAGTTTGATATGATTTATTCAGAAGAGACGAAGAATTTTTCAGTGCTGTAGTAAGAATGATTTACTACAGTTGTGACATGAATTTTTTATCTAGACCAGTGAGACAGAATTAGTAGAATGATCTAGACCAGTGAGACAGAATTAATAGAATGACTTATTATGCAAACTGACAAATCAGAATCATTCAACCCAGATCTGGATGAAACATCTTTTGAACGACACTAGTTTTCAAAAATTTAGATGAAATGAGAAAATGGGAATAGTAATGTGATGGAGATTTGACAAAGAACAGAAGTCTTTAATTTTCCAATCTTAGATTGTGTCAAGAGCATGGAAAAATATATGGTTTAAAATTAAAACCATTAGCTAAGATTGTCTAAAGGTTAACATACAAACATCTATCTCAAGTTCCACCTACTTTATGTATATACAAGAGTTTAAGAACAAAGACAGTATACCAAAAATGATACTAAAAAATTCAGCATGAATCTATGATTATCACACATCAAAACCAGGACCACAAAAATAACAGATACTGAAATATTTCATCATATAGCGCTTGTGTCAAAATACCAAAATTCAAAATATAACTTAGAGTAGCCAAATACAAAAATATCTAGGATTCAAACAGATTAACTCATCAAACAACATTTCAGAAGAGTTTCTTCCATGATCATAAAAAACCAACCAAAGCAAAAATAGTTCAACATACTGCAAAAAGAAATCATTCATCCTCTTGACTGCGAAGTCTGGCAAGTTTGTTGGTGACAACAACGTCCAATTGTGCTGCACGTTCAACAATGTCCTTTCTCTTCCTTGTTGAGACATTGTGTGCAATCTCAGCACAGTAAGTCCTGAAATATTTTCAATGAAAACAAACAAAAACTCAGAATAGAGCAATTAAGAGAATATATAAGAAATCAATAATCGAAACGAAACAAGACTAGTTAGTTAATTACCTGTTGTGCATCATCAAGAGTTCTAAATCCTTGACATTGTGGACAACAAACTTCTTGAATCCATTAGGCAGATAGTGACGGGTCTTCTTGTCGGAACCGTAACCAATGTTGGGCATCAACGTAACACCTTTGAACTTTCTCCTAACACGGGAATCAATACCCTTGGGTCTGCGCCAACTTTGCTACATAGCCCAAAATGAAATAAAATCAAAACACACAACCACCAGAAATTCCAACAAGCATAAACAAAACAGCAAATAAAACGAAAACCCTAAATTCTAAACCATTTAACACCATGAAAACCCTAAACCCTAAGCATTTGACAGAACATAGATCGAACAATTTGCAAGCATAAAAACACATAAACGCTAAAAATAAATATGAGATGATACTTTACACACATACCTTGACACATATTCTCCTGTCACTTTGAGGCCTGATGAACCTCTTGACACGCTTCTTGATAATCTTCTTGGTTAGCAGAGGAACGGCCATCTTACCTATAAAACGTAAATTCAAAGTTGGATTGAACGCAAAAACTAGAATTGAAAATCGAAAACCAGAGAGAATCACAGTATAAAATAATGGCGCTAGTGGTGTTGCGTACCTGTTTGAAGAGCTGCTCCTGGAATGTAACAATGAAGGAGGCGAATTAGGGTTTTGAAGTTGATATTTATAGATATAATATTGGGCTTAATCTTAGATGGCCCAGAGTGCTAAAATTATTCTAACTGGATTTAGTTTTTTTGGGTACAAAAATTGGGTTGGTTCGTTTAAAAATATATATTTGTTGAAATTTATATATACAAAATGAAATAATGTTTACTATTGAATTTTGAATGATAAAAAAGTATTCACTTCAAAAATAAAAATTTGATTATATATAAATAAATAAATAAGTGAAAAAATTGGAAAAAAAAATATAAGTTGTTTAATAAATTGAAGCATTTGAATATTAATTCATTCATTACAAAGAGATTCAAAAGCTATATAGCAATAGAAAACGTATCGCACAAGAAATTGTAACAACTAACTAGTAGTTGTTGTAATAACTAGATTGATTATAAGAATATTATATCTCTTATAAATTCGATGAAAACTTGTAAACTTTGAAATTGGTCCAAAACATAAGAAAAGTGGAGATGGAAGTTAGTTTGGTAGGGATGTCGACAGATTTCTCAATTGTTAGTATGTGAAGAACTTTGAAGGGTTTAATTTGTATTTCCTCTATAATGAGGTAGAGATCTAATTCAAAATGTTGGGTAATATAGTGTAAGGTAAGGTTGGAAGCAAGTAAAAGAACACTTAGGTTGTCATAGTAGATAGAGTGTATGTTGTGTTGATAATGATAGATGTAGCTCGTATAGAAGGGATTAAAGCCGTAAAATTTCAGAAGACATGGCTGATATACTTCCGCATTCAGCTTCAGTGCTTGATCTAAAAATGATTGTTTGCTTTTTGAAAGACCGCGATACAAGATTGTATCCAAAGAAACACAATAACATGTAGTAATAATATAGCACAAGTCATCTTCATCTTAGCCCTAATTTGTATCACATATGGCTAGGATTGTAAGATTATTTTAATTTGTAAGGATTAATCCAAAGGTTGTGGTTTCTTGTATATGTTTGAGAATTCATTCAACTATTGCCCAATGAGAAACTCTTAGATTGTGCATAAGTTGGTAGACCTTGTTAGTTCCAAAGGCTAGATCAAATCGCGTAATTGTTAAATATTGAAGGCCTTAAGCAATTTATTAATAAAGGGAATGGTCATAAAATTTTGATGTATCATGAACAAGGAGTTTGGTATTGGAAACCATATGTGATGGCATGAGATTATCATTAACAATGTTGTCTTTTTGAAGTGGGTCATGAGCATATTTTGTTTGGATTATGTAAATAAAATTGAAGATAATTTATGAATTTGGGTGCTAAGAAAAGAATGTAGGTTACCCATGTCTTTGAGTGGAAAATTTGTGTGAATGGTTACAATGAGATTGTTGGCAGCTTGAGAATAATTACATGTGATGATTACATCATTAACATAAGCAGGATGTAAATGGTTATTGTTGGAGTTACCTTATTAAAAAAGGAAATGACAATTTTTATAAATTGAAATTATATTTTTATAAAAAAAGGAGTGAAGGTTGTGAAACCAAACACGATGAATTTACTTCAATCCATAAAATAATTTTTGAAGTTTGCAAACCAAAGTGTTTGTTGATCCCTTCATGAAGCCATATTGTTGAGCCATATAAATTGATTCGTGTAGGTCACGATTTAAAAAAGACATTATTCATGTTTATTTACTTGATTTATAGTGTTTTGAAAGTTATTATAGTAGAAAAAGACCATTGAAATTCAATGAAATTAATTTTTATTATGTGTGTTTATGATGTAAAAAATCATTTTGATTTATAAATAACATAACACTATTTATGATAACATGCATTTATAATTTTGAATTGATTCTTACTACGAAGGATTATTAGCTTCAAAAGTCAATGAAATTATATCTTTTTATACATTGTTAAAATATCATTCATATGAAATGATCCTAATTTACATGTCAGATTTATCATATAATGCATGTGCATGATATTCAATCTTCATAAATAATAACTTTTGTATTTTCTTCACTGTCAAATCATATTTGAATGTAAGTCCATAACAATTACATTCCAAAATGTAAAATAGTTTCTTTGCACTTTAAATTATATTATGAATGAATTAGGAAACACAATAAACTCAATTAGTTTATATATATATATATATATATATATATATATATATATATATATATATATATATATATATATATATATATATATATATATATATATATATATATATATATATATATATATATATATATATATATATATATATATATATATATATATATATATATATATATATATATATATATATATATATATATATATATATATATATATATATATATTTGAAACTTTGCTTATTTATTTATTTATGATCTATTGTGTATCATGTTTGGATAAAGCTAATAATCAATACAAATGCATCAATTGTTAAGAGTCTCACATCAGACAATACTTGACTTGAACATGTTCTTATAAGTGGAGATAATTCTCACCATACAATCCAGTTTTGTAGAATTTAGTTAGGTTCAACCACATTTATTAATATAGTATCAGAGCCTGGTTTAAGATCCAACGACCACCTGCTATCAGGTTTTCGCTATTAGGTCATCCACCATTTATTATCATGCTTCAAATGTTCAGTCATGGGCGTGAGGGTGTGTTAAGAGTCTAACATCGGATAATATATGTGTGATACGGTGGGAGAACTAACTTGAGGATTTGTGTTTGTGTTTGCAAATGTTACGGTTGAGCAAGAGTCGCCACCGACTTTTCTTTTATCCAATAAGGAAAGGTGAAAAAGCACAGGAAAGACCTTTCGAGATTTTTTCTTGAGTTCGGGGGTAGATTATGAAAAGGGAAGGTATTAGCACCCTTTCCATCCATGGTTTTCCATGGGCTCTTAGTGAAGGAAAATTGCGACCAAAAGCGCAGCGGAATTTAAAATTTTCCTTTAGCGATCCTTACGAATGAGCATGGTCAGTGATAGAAATATTTACCTCTTGTGGCGATTCAGAACTTTGATGTTGTGATCACGAGCGTTGATGAAGAACAACGCCTCTACTCAGTCCACACGAACAAATCGCTTCTGGTCACAGTGCTAGCTGATCACGAACGGAAACCTTGAGTGAGAGAGAGAGTCAAAAACGAAAATGCATCAAGTGAAATTGCTTCATCACAAGGGATCTATTTATAGAATCACTCGTGTGGGCTACAAGCTAAAATCCCAATTAAGGCTATAAGCTAAAAGCCCAATTAAGCTTATGGACATCATACCTTATGATGTACCATATATCACTTATCCACGTGGTACCTTACCATTTTCCGTATTACACTTAAGTGCACCGTACCTTACGGTGTTCCTTATTTATTCTATCTCTCATCAACCTGTCCTTATGTGTGTGACCCTGTAGGTTTTCGCAACGTTGGAAATTATATTAAATCACACATTTAATATAATAAACAGTGAGCGATATCTAGCAACACATCACTGTTACCCAAGTCACGAAAATGTCATGTGATCTGACCAAACCTTTTCCGTGATAATATTTGTGTTGTACAATTACCCTTTTGCCCTCATGTCTATATTGAACACAAGGAATACACTGTGTCTCCCTTGTCCAGTTCAATATTGGGCCCTTAGACATTTATCCTGTTATGCAGGATGAGCAAATTCCATCTAGGTCACTCATGTCCCTTAGCATGCTTTGTGAAGTACCCATCAACCGTCTTTACAGTCATCCAGTTACGGATGACGTTTGATCAACAATAAAGTACTTGACTCTACATATAGGGTCCATAGTGGTTTCAGGTCGAAGGGTGGTATACACCATTATCATCATGAGAATAACTTATGACACTTTGCATAACATTCTATGTAGTATTCTCATAGCGGGTCAATCCAGTATAAATATTACTCCTAATATCCATACCTATGTCAAGACTTGATAACTCCTTATCTATGATCCATGAGATGTGATCATCAATCCATCTTCATAATAATCTTAATGTTTTAATGCTATCCCACTTCACATTAAAGCTTGACTATGGATACTTTAAGAATAGTGTCTTATGTTTAATGGGATCTCATGATTAAGTCACACTTAACATTTCATTAAACAAATAAACCATTCTAGAGATTTTATTATTTTGGAAAGCAAACATAATAAAGAAATGCCTTTTATTATTAATAAATAATTCGATACAAGTACCAAAAGTATTGGCCTCTAGGGCTTACACCAACAATCTCCCACTAGCACTAGAGCCAATCACGCATACCCCTAATACCCATAGATCTAGTATGTCCATCATGCTTCAGCTGCGCAAGAGGCTTTGTTAATGGGTCAGCAACATTGTCAAGTGTAGGTACTCTGCATATTTTCACATCTCCCCGATCGATTATCTCTCGAATGAGATGATAACGCCTAAGTATGTGTTTGGATCGTTGGTGAGATCTAGGCTCCTTAGCTTGTGCAATAGCACCATTGTTATCACAATAGAGATCAATGGGATCCACAATGCTATGGACTATGCCAAGTTCACTAATGAACTTCTTGATCCAAACAGGTTCCTTTGCTGCAGTTGAGGCAGCAATATACTCAGCCCCGGTTGTAGAATCAGCAACTGTATCTTGCTTTGAACTTTTCCAGCTCACAGCGCCACCATTTAAACAAAACACATAACCAGATTGCGATCTAAAGTCATCCTTATCTATCTGGAAGCTAGCATCGGTGTATCCAATTACAGCAAGCTCTTCCCGACCTCCATATATTAAGAATGAATCCTTAGTCCTTCTCAAGTACTTAAGGATATTCTTGACAGCTACCCAATGAGCATCACCAGGATTAGACTGGTACCTACTCGTTGCACTTAAAGAATACGAGACATCTGGTCGAGTACATAGCATGGCATACATGATAGATCATATTGCAGATGCATATGGAATCTTATCCATGCGATCCCTTTCTTCCTTACTTGAAGGGGATTGTGTTTTTGACAGACACATGCCATGTTGCATAGGTATGAATCCTTTCTTGGAATCATGCATATTAAAGCGTCTCAACACTTTTTCTATGTATGTACTCTGACTTAGGCCAAGCAGTTTTTGTGACCTATCTCTATAGACCCTGATTCCTAATATATAGGTTGTTTCACCTAGGTCCTTCATCGAAAAGCATTTCCCTAACCAAGTCTTCACTTGTTGCAAGGTAGGGACATCGTTTCCAATGAGTAATATGTCATCTACATATAATACCAGGAATACGATCATGCTCCCACTAACCTTCTTGTAGACACAAGGCTCATCTTCATTCTTGATGAATCCATATTGTTTTACTGTTTCATCAAAACGAAGATTCCAGCTTCTGGAAGCTTGCTTCAATCCATAAATTGATCGCTGTAACTTACATATCTTTTGGGCCTCCTCTGGTATGTCAAATCCTTCAGGTTGTGTCATGTACACATCCTTAAGAAGATTCCCATTAAGGAAAGCAGTTTTGACATTGTGATCGGTGGATCTGGAACTGACTGTTTAAAGCTGGTTCGCGAAATGTCGCGGTAAGCAAGAGTCGCCACCGTCTTTTATTTTCTCCAAATGGAAAGGACAAAAGCACAGAAAAATTCCTTAAAGAGATTGCTCTCGGTTCGGGAGGTAGATTATAGAAAGGGAAGGTGTTAGCACCCTTTCTATCCATGGTTATCCATGGGCTCTTAGATACTTGCTCATTGTGTTTTCAAAAATGGTTTGTTTGCTTTTCAACTGTGGGTTTTAAAAAAAAGTTTCTTTGAAAATTTCAGTTCGACTCTTGTATCGGTCCTCAAGAGTGTTTGAAAAGTTGCTTTCGAAAGCTTTTTGAAAAGTGTCGGTGTGAAAAGTATTTTTTGATTTATTTTGAAATTAGAGCAAGTATCTATGAGTTCTCTACCTACCCTAAGGAATTCGTCTGTGTAAATGTCCTTAAAGTAGTGTCATCCCACCATTGAAAGGTAGGTAGCACCACCGTTGGAGGTGTTCGGGTCAATTCGAGTTTTAGGACAGTGTGGCCACCAAGCAAAGGTAAGATACCTTAGGAGCTACCCTTATGCCATTGATCTTTTATTCTGAGGTAACTATTCCGAGGCAACTTGCTTTGAGGCAACCAGATCAATGGGACATAAGGACTCACTAAGACGTCTTATAGTCGACGACCACGTTTCGAGGGACAAGGCAACAGTGTGATCACCGGAGTAATAGGAAGATACCTTAGAAGCTACCCTCATGCCAGGTTCCCGGATCATGAGGACTTACTAAGACATCCTCTACTCGACGATCACCTTTCGAGGCAAGGCAACAGTGAGG